GGGGGTCAAAGACCGGCAGGTATACCGCGTCAGGTAACGGCCATGTAGTTAGGATCCTGGCAGGCCACGGCCGCTTCCGGAAGGGGTACGGGAAGGCAGACCCTACTGGCCTCCGGTCTGGCAGAAACGAGATTTTGGGGCAGCCTGGGGGTACCTTTTGCGAGTTGGTTGAGGGCACCAGGTTGCTGAAGCACGCGTCCAACTAGCAACTAGCCAGTGACCTAGAGTGCCAGCAAGCAGCACCAGTCATAGCTGGACTGGGGGCGCTTGGGAGAGTGGTGGCGGTGCAGGGAAGGAGATATCCTGGGAGGAGGAGGAAAGCAACCACCTGTTTCCCCCAAATACAACATATGGTCATTATAGCTGTATTTGAGCCATCTTTCAGTCTAAATACAGCTATAATGACCGTACAACGTAAGAGAGAGGCAGCAATCTTGTTCATAGACTTTGAAAAGGCATATGACCATGTGGACTGGGACTTTCTGGACTGCTGCCTGCAGAAGATGAACTTTGGGGAATCTTTCAAGGAATGGGTATCCATATGCATAGATCAGCAGCCACCAACATTATGGTTAACGGCCATTTATCCCCCCGCTTCAAGCTACAACGATCCGTTAGACAAGAAGATCCCATTGCCCCTCTCCTCTTTGTACTGGTTATGGAGCACTGGCAGCCATGATCCGAGCAAACCCGGCAATACAACGAATTGACATCTAGAAACTGCCACCCCACCTTGTGCCAGTCACATCCCTGTTCGCTGACGACCTTACGGTTCTCATCAAAGCCACAACATCCCCTCTACAGGCGCTGACAGACACCATACACATCTTTGCTATGGCTGCCGAGATGAAGGTCAACTGAGTCCATGAGGAATCCCCCCTCCGGTACACCCAGTAAATTGGCGCCCTCGAGAGGAAGCGATCAGGAGTCGGGGCATCAGGCTCACAGCAGTGGGCCCCCGAAAGACCATGGAGAAGCGCTAGCGAAAACTGGTGTCAAGAGGTTGGCCAAATGGGATGGCCTCCATATATCCCTCGTAGGAAGGGCGCTGGCCATCAAAAATGTTGTTCTTGCTACAATATGGTACAAAGCAGCCTTCTGGGACATCCCCAAAACGCAGCTGACATCCCTGCGCACAGCGGTGGCCGCCTACTTATGGAAGCACGATCATGAACAGGTGCGATGCATTAAGCGGGTGGGTTCGAAGTACATCACCTAACCCAAAAAGGTGGGTGACTTGGGCATTCTGGACCCGGGGGACGAAATCAAAGCACTAATTGTCAAAGTTATTACTCATCTACTGCTGGTCACAGACGTCCCCTGGGTACCACTAGCGCTTTTACAGCTTGCCCAACTGGGCCCCCCCCATCCTCGCCTGAGAGCCCGGTCCACCCGCTGCACTGGTTCACAAACAAACAAAGACTGGTCTATTCCTGGCCCACCTCGACATAAGCGAGATGGGATGGGACTGCACATAATAGTACCAGATGGGACATAAAAAACGAGCCCCTCTGGACGAATATCCCACACCTGTGGCGAAAAATGGGCCCGAATAACAACCCCCCTCCCCCCAGATGGCATGGCATCTGAAGGCAACCCATTTTTGGGAAACCCGCACATGTTGGATGATAATGGCCAAACCCTTTTCTCTTTCAACCGGTAGCCACTGGTTGACATGGGTGAAAAATGGTCTGTTCATCATAGGGGATCTGTGGGACGTCCAGGGGGGAACATGGAAAACAGCACAACAACTGTGATCGGTCCTCAAGCACATTAAAAACAGTCAGGCAAAACTCGACCAACTGCAGGCGGCAGTACCATTAAGTTGGGTAGGGGCTCTCAAAAATGGCCCGCAATTAAGGAAGGATGACTGGGTTTCCAAAAACGACTCCAATCCTATCCCCATGGTCATTTATAGAGTGCTTAATGTGGTTGTGGGAGCAACAGAATTGCAGGCATACGAACCAATCATGCCAGGGGCCAAGTGGACTGGTCTGCGAACGAATCCCGACCTTGACTGCCAGCAGAATCCCGACCTTGACTGCCAGCACCCGGCCGATACTCTCACTAGAATCCGAGTTGTGGGAGATGATGGTACGGGGTATTTCGCTTTTGAGATGACCTCCCCCATTCGTGCCCTTCCTTGCGATCCTCACGAGTGGGAATCGAGTGGACATAAACCTACCCCGCTCTGGCAGTACACGGTAAAGAACGGGTATAAACAGGCCCACCATCTCCACCTGTCAACCTCTGTAGTTCGCAACAGATGGGCCTGTGATTCACCATTGGAAGAAGCTAAGCTGGGAGATGTTCCTTGGGTCTCTTACTCACACATAATGCCTACCTTTCACCGGCCCTTTCAGTGGAGGTCATGCACCGATGTCTCCCAACCCCGGACTGGTTGACGATGCACTCGAATCGTGAACAAAAAGGGGTCTTGTCTCCGATCTGCACCTACTGTGGGCACTCCTCATCACAACGTCGCCGAGCAGATCTGGAGCACTGTCTGTTGGCTTGGCCCATGGCTCTCCAGGTCGGGTGATGGTGGTACGCACTATGGTGTAAGCTCTCAGGCACCCCCTTCCAATGGGATATTGGCCTTATATTGTTGGGAAGGCAAACAGACTACCCAGCCACCTGGTCTGCTTTTCAACAAAAACTGTTCAAGTCCACCCGCCTGGCCATACTCATGGTTATTTGGAGAACACAATGTTCTGTCGAACGCAAAGAGTTCATCTTTGGCCTCCCTGAGGCTAAAGTGGAGATTGGGGAACTCATTAGGGCTAACATAGTAAAGGCCAATAAGAACCTGCTCACTGCGATGCCTACAATAGCAGATCAACTTGGGAAGCGGCAAGCTATCTCAGAGTTCAAGGACCTCTGGCTCGACCCCCAGAGGATGATGGCAGATATATACGATGACAGGACATTGATATGGAAGAACTGGCTTGCCAAAGAAAAGCACTGGCGGCTGAGCCCGCTTGATTGCTTCCACACCCCACTGCCGGGCATAAATGCACACGCATTGATACTAAACCCATCCACCCGTAAAAGGAACTCCTCAGTCTTCCACCCAACCTCCCCGCTCCCTCCCTACCCCAGCCTCCTCTCCCTTTCTCTCAAACCCCGCTCACCCCGCCTGCACCTGCGTTGCCTACAATAGCAGATCAACTTGGGAACCAGCAAGCTATCTCAGAGTTCAAGGACCTCTGGCTCGAACCCCAGAGGATGATGGCAGATAACATGACGGGACACTGATATGGAAGAACTGGCTTGCCAAAGAAAAGCACTGGTGGCTGAGACCACTTGATTGCTTCCACACCCCGCTGTTGGGAAGGAACGCACACGCATTGATAGTGGACCGGGCACCCGTAGGAGGAACTCAGTCTTGCACCCAACCTCCCCTCTCTCCCTCCCTACCCCAGCCTCCTCTCCCTTTCTCTAAACCCCCGCTCACCCCGCCTCCACCATCGGCCCCGTATCCTCCCTCTCCTTCGCCGCCTCCTCCAATCCCCCAACCTCTCCTCCATCTCAATAGCCCGCCCCAGACCTCCCCTCCCCCTGCCCTGGCTGAGCCAACCCCCATAACCCCGYCACCCCCCTTTCCCACGGATCCCCCCTCGCCTACCACCCCGCCTCCTTCTCAACACGAATGGTGTTCGGCACGGACATTGGTATCCCGCTCACAGCCCGGTGACCAAGGTTCAAGTTAGCAGGCCATACACGATGGACAAGCAATACCGGTCCTCCGCAATGGGAGACCACCCCCTTCCCGTGCATCCCCCCTCGCCTACCCCCCCGCCTCCTCAACACAAATGGTGTTCGGCCCCAACATTGGTATCCCGCTCACAGCCCAGTGACCAAGGTTCAAGTTAGCAGGCCGTACATGATGGACAAACAATACCGGTTCTCCACAATGGGAGACCACTCCGGCTATGACAATGGCAGCCATGAAGATCTCCAGCGTTCTCAGTTTCGGCAACAAGACCATATGCAGGAGGATGATGGTAGCTGTCCAAGATGACAACAGAGGACCGGGGCTACACGACAGCAGACACAGAAAGGGCCCATTCCCCCCAGCTGGAACAGGGGCCAATGGGGGGCAAGGCCCGCCCTTTCATTCTGCAAGTATCGTCAAAACAGCCTAGCTCCCCCACGCCTAGGGGGGACAGGGCAGCCATGAAGTTCTCCAGCATTCTCAGTTTCAGCAACAGGACCACATGCAGGAGGGTGGTAGCTGTCCTAGATGACAACAGAGGACCAGGGCTCCACGAGCCTAACTCCCCCACACCTCGGGGGGACAGGCGATAGGCAACATTAAGAATAGGAAGTCCTGAGTACAGGAGTCAGATGTCTGATTACTGTCAGTCACTGAAATGTCTCATAATATGAGGGACGCTGGACCCGGTTTCCAGCAGGTGCTGCTCCCCACCAATAGATGGAGCCTTCAACCGTGGAGCCACTTAGGGAGGCTGCTCATATCACCTCCCTAAGTGGTGTCCACGACTCGAAGTTCACCAAAAAAAAAAAAAGAAAAAAAAAAAGACCGTACATTGTATTCAGGGGAAGAAGGAAGGGAGGAGTCGATTTAGCAAGGAAGGGATGTACCTGGTGGTCGCCAAGAAGAGCGTTAGCGTGCGTGGTACATTCTGCGTTCAGGCTTTCACAAAAAAAATGAACATGTGTATTCAGGGCAGCATACGTGTATTTAGGCTCTGCAGCATTGTACACTAACATACTAGAGGGCTACGATGGTAGATAGACAAAGCATCTTCACCTGAATTAGGACAACCGGTCATTATCACTGTTTCCAGACTGAAAATTGCCCTAAATACAGCTATACTGACCAGGCATTCTATTCGCGTGAAGACGACAGGTGAGCAAACACAGCAGGCTGGTAGCCAGACCAGAAGAAAGATCAGAAAACTATCATCTTTCTTGTATTTGTTGTTGGGCCGCGAGAAAAGGGCCTTCTTTCCACTTTTACGTCCTGGCTGTTGTAGAGGCCAGTCTCAGGGCACACGGTGAATTCTGGGAGCAGTCAGCCATAGTTGCCCTGAGAAGACAAGGTGGCTACCTCCCATCCCATCCTTGCGTCAATGCATCTAGCGCACCCCCTATCCCTGCTATCCTACCTCAGTGTGACCAGCACTCAGGAGTCAGGACCATTACCCTACCAGTATCGTGGGAAACTTGGACCGGACAGCAGTGGCATACACCAGGGCTAGCCATGAGTCAACCCTGGTGGAAGCGGAGTCGAACGAGCCTTGTCGTACGGGAACTTCGGACGTCAGGCTCAAGAAATCTTCCTCTAGCCCCTAAGTGAAATGAGAGGGTCTGCCTGATAAGCAGGCACAGACCCCAGGATGAGGCAAGCTGGCACCCACGGACACATCCTACCGTCCTTCCCCTAGCTTGCCCAAGGCTACGCGGAGCTCAGACGAGCTGGAGCGACTTCTATCCGTGCTCTACCCCTATAGAGTCTAAGCCCTTCGTTGAACCAGACCAACCAGTGTCCTCTTTCCCATAATCAAAAGACTATTCAGCATTCTCAATTCTTCTTTTTTTTTTTTAACTAGGCTGTATTCTTCTCTCAATTGTACCTCATGCTACCTACCTATGTCGAAGCACAGCAACCCATGTCTAAGCACAGCCAAGATCCACTAGACCTAGAAGCTAGCCCCCGGTATGGAATGGCAGGGGTGAAGGCTCTCCGAGAGAACCCAGGACCCTGCCAAGGCCAACCAAGGGGGGGGGGGGGGCAAGCCAACTATCTCAGCTGATGAACACCTAGCACTCCACAGGCGGCCGTGGGGGACTCAACCCACGACCTCCTGAATGCCATTTGCGTGTGAAACCAACTGAGCTAGGCCGCTGGCCCAGCGCCATCATGCAAAGCATGAGGCCGATGGCCTATGGGAAAAAGGGGCTTGCGCCCGCTTGTAACCGTCTGTGCCCGCCCTAAGTGAAGGCAGGCCCTGTGGAAAATCAACGAGGACTTTTCTGAGGCCCATCCCATGTGAGCAGGACTGGGGCCCAGATGGTCGTGCAGCATCTTCAACCAACCGGTAGGCCTGATCAGCTGAAGATGCTGAGGCCCAGGGCACTTTCAGTTGAGGCCCAGCCACATTCTGGTAGGTCCCTGGGCGCAGCTACTGGTACAGAGATCAAGCCTCCAGAGCCTGGCCTCCCCCAGCCAGACAGGACAAAAGGGAGAGAGGTTCACTCACTCTCATTCGTTCTGGCCGGCTAGACAGCAGCAGCGCTGCTGAAGTGCTTGCCGGCTGGACCAGAGTCGGAGAGAGTTGAGGAGGGTGGTGGTGCCGGCGGGGCGCAGGGAAGAAGCTGCCGGGCGCAGCTCGAGGGCGCAGAGGCCATAGCCGGGCTGCAGCCCCCATAGCCGGAGGAGGTGTGGCCGAGGTCCTTTGGGGAAGGGACTGTGGAAGGTAGAGATGAGATGGGCGGTGTGTGTGAGGGCGCTTACCTGGTGGTGATGAGCAGGCCGCTTTGTCGGAGTCTTCAGTCGTCATCGGGCGCTGCACTTCATGAAGACCTGTTGTAGTGTAGTGGAGTCTACGTCAATAGGTGCTGTCCGATCATAGTTTTGGCGCCGAGCGCCATTTAGGAAAGCGACATTGTGGACATCCACGTCGGAGGCAAGGCGAGGGCTTTCATTGTCCATCAACTTCGGCGCTTTGCTCTTGGGTCGTATTTGGTGTATCGCATCCTGCAGTCTGCTTACAGCTCATGCACAAGTTATCTGGATTTCAGATCATTTCTGATTTCTACGGAATGTTGCAATTTGATTTCTGTCTTTCGCATTGCCCAGTTTCCTTGCAGCCAACTTCTTTATTTAATTAAAAAAAAAAAAAAAAAAAAACATTGCCAATTCTTGGGTCGGTACGGTCATTGCTATATTTCATTTCTGCTATTTTCCTTGCCACCGTATGAATGCATTGCTGATCCTGCAAAATCAGCATGCTTGTAAACCGGACTTTTCCTTCAACACCGTTTCCTTTGCACATTGGAAGTCACTCTGGTCAAACTCACACTTGCAATTTCCTAAATGAATGCGACTTCAATTGCGGCCAAACCTGGATGCATCTGACCACAATCACGTCCAGAGTTCAGTAGAAATGGTCCTTGTGTAAGTATGCCCTTCACTGTGATTACAAGTTCATCAAAATCACGATTCGAAGCAAGCCCTGAGCCGCCAACAACACACAGGTTTCGAAGCTGCAAAAAATCCACCCATGGGGCCTCGTTCGACTACTCATCAAATATGCAAAATGAGAATGAATCTTCTGCTTGAACAGGGAACATACACCGCCATATTTTTTGTCTTCTGTGCATGTGGTGAGGAGTGGAGCTCGGCCCATAGAGAGACAAGTTGCGGACGCTCCGACACAGAATGAACAATCCGGCATAAGCTCTTTGTGACTGTGCTGCAAAAGAGGAGAGCAGCCCACCGGAGGTCCAGGACTGTGAACAGCGACCGGTTCACTCCAAACAAAGGCTTACAGCGTATGCACACTAGCTCGATCTTAAATGTACGTGACCGAATTTAAGGCCGCACCTGGATGTACCTGACCGCAATCACGTCCATAAGCATGGAAAGCAGTCCTAGCGTGTGTATGCCCTTAGGCGCACAGATAACACCACATTGCAGACCAATTTGGGAGACTTCGGAAAACCATTGGCGGACTCATAATTACATGCCTCTTCTCTTTTTTTCTTTCCTTTTCTTTTAATTTGGAACATTTATCGTTCAAATGTTAACAGATGTCCCTAAGGACACACTCTTTTTCTTTCCTTATATCTTTTTTATTTCTTAGAAAAAAATCTCACTTGCATTCATACACATATGCAATACTGTTCCAATTTCCATATATAAAACCGAAAAAAAATCTACTCATATAATTTACTAATTGAGAGATGAAAAAATGTGCCCACCACAATAAGAATGTTGCTCATATCATTGGATATATCCGTAAAATGCCACCACAAGGGCTTCCCTACCGCCAGAATGCTCAGCTGCCGGACACTGGTATGAATAGGGGGGAAACGCAGTACTGGCATGTACGGAGGGGAGGGAGGGACAGAGGGAAAGGCAGTACTGGTCGAGTAGAGGGAGGGAGGGAGGGAGGGAGGGAGGGAGGGAGGGAGGGAGGAAGGGAGGGAGGGAGAGGACAAGAATTGGCAATGCAAGGGGGTGGACACAGGACATAATACCTCTTCATGCTGACCCAAATGCAAAAGTACGGAGGATGCAAAAGACCCAATAGAAATAGAAATCACGCAGAAATAGAAATAGAAAATATGCAAATTAAGCACCCAGAAATAGAAATAGAAAATAATAAAATATGCAAATTATGCAATGGGGGGGGGGGTGGATGAAAACCAGAACACCCTGTGCAAACACTGTAACATGTTTTGAATCACTGTCAGAACAGACGGATTCGTAGTCCTCCTGCTGCGACCTAGAAAAATGGAGGGAGCATCACCCACCGACGTGGGTACTTTGGTCGTCCATCCTTTCCATCAAACAACTGCACTCAAGGACACACACAAACAAGCCAACAGAACCAGCAAGAAGAAAAGTCAGAACCAGCATCACATAGCTTGCACATGATACGCTCACACACACACACACACACACACACACACACACACACACACACACACACACACAATCAGATGCATATATATATCTGTTTTCCTGTTTTCTTTGTATGTCTCCTTTTCCGTTATTTCGTACTTTTCTGATGTCTAACCTAGCACCTTGAAGAAGTGTCAAACAGTCAGTGGCTGGTTGTTTGAAGCGCCTGCGGGCGTTTAGGGGGGGCCGCTCTGTGCGTCATGTCATTGATGCATATAGCCTATATGGGTGATGATAGACTTCCTGGCTCAGTTGGTGCTGGGAACCAACATTCTGCACGGCTCTTCTTGGGGTGTGAGTAGGTGATAAATGGCTTTGGTCCCTGTTGAGGGTGTGGACTTCCTTGTCTGCGCTCTCCGCTGCCTTGCTGCCTGCGCGCTTGCCGTGCTTGTCTTTTCCTTCAGCTTGTTTGTTTGCCACGTGGTTCGGTTGTCTTGTTAGTGTTGCTTCGTGTCTCCCTGCATTGTTGCCCTGCTGCCTCCCTGCATTGTTGCCCTGCTGCCTCCCTGCATTGTTGCCTTGCTGCCCCTCTGCATGCCATGTCTTTCTGTTTACTTTGCTCGTGTACCACGCAATTTGGCTGCTTCGTCAGTGCTGCCATGTGTTTAATTGTGTCTCTGCGTGCCATGTCTTTCTGTTTACTTTGCTCGTGTACCACGTAATTTGGCTGCTTCGTCAGTGCTGCCATGTGTTTTGTTGTGTCGTTGCTGAGCTGCCTGTCTGTGAGCGCTGTCATTCCGTACATTTAGCTTTGGAGTTGTGTGGTTGGCCTGCCCCGTTAGCATCACCCAGTTCTTCGCTGCTGAGTCGTTGCCCTTGCTGCCGAGTTCTTCGCTGCTCAGTCATTGCCTTGCTGCCCGATTCTTCACTGCTGAGTCGTTGCCTTGCTGCTGTATTACGTTCAAGGTGCTGCCTGCGCACCGCCCACTTTCAAGCAAATCTATGCATATCTGCTGCCTTTGCCTTGTGGCTCGCCGCCGTTTGGCTTACTGCCTTTTTGCTTTGTGGTTCTTCGCATTATGGCCCTTTCATGACATTCTGTGAGTGCGTATGTGGCTGCGGGCTTGCTTCCAAGTACCGTTTACAAGCATATACCTTTCCACACAACATGCCGCAGCACTGCCGTGGAAGTTCGACACTATGCAAACACAGAGTGTGTGTGTGTGTGTGTGTGTGTGTGTGTGTGTGTGTGTGTGTGTGTGTTGTCATATTCGCTATACACTTAAAAAAAGCATGACTGTACCAGACTGTATCGTCGGACTTTCATGTGTGTGTGTGTCTTAGATTTTCCCCACAACAGCCCCAATTCCACCCAGGTGAACAGATTCAGAATCAAAGCAGTCTTTGTCCTATTGCAGACAACGAGAGCATTTGAGATGTCCAACATATTAAAGCAACTTTATAATTAGACAGTTTTTTGGTTGTCCTTGTGTGTGTGTGTGTGTGTGCGTGTGTGTGTGTGTGTGTGTGTGTGTGTGTGTGTGTGTGAGAGAGAGAGAGAGAGAGAGAGAGAGAGAGAACACTTGACATAGTTGACATGCTGGCATATATGTATTATACATGCACATGTATGTCCGCGTAGAAGCGCATATACACAAAAGATTGTAGGTTTCCATTTCTCCTCTCTCTGTCTGTAAGCCAAGAGAAAATTGTTGTATTATTTTATTGTAGTAAGTACATAATAATACTTGTTTATACTATATATCAATCAACGGATGCATCATAACACAGCATGGGCACAGCAACTGGACGCACACCTGAATGAGCAGAAACACAAGCACACACGCTTTGGGACGGTGAAGTTCCAGACATAACAGGTCTGCCAACATACCTGCTCATTCAGAGATGCAGTGAAAATTAAAAATTAACTGAAAACACATGTACAAAGCACAACCACCCGAAGAACGTCCTATTTGGCCCGGCTGGATCGTACGGTAGCTGCTGGCTGTGTGGCCTTAGCCGATTTCCCAGTGCAAGGAGAAATGGGCAGCGAATGCCCAGCACATATGCATTGAAGTGTCAGGCCCAGGGAAAGGCACTGCATCTGCTCTAGACGTCATAAGACGGAGATTCCTTCCTTGCAAGGCTTTCTCAGATGTATGTCGTCTCCTATTATCCATCAAGGCTGCGACATCTGTGCACCCCTAGAGAACTCACACAACAGAAGTGCCGCCACATGGTCATCTGGGAGCGTAATCACACCAGGACTCCTTTGACCGATCTCTCTCTGGATGTATTTGCAGTCAAATACATTCAGGAGAGGCCGTAATTGCGGTCAGATACATCCAGGGAAGTTCAACTGTGAGCAGGCTCTGAGGGTGCAGTTGTACTCACAGATAAGTAAGCGTCAACTGGTAGTGCCGCTTACCACGACCCGAACACACTGATGTGTGCATTAGAGCCGTGCCGCACTAATCACCAAGCGTGCACAATGAGAATGAATCTTCCCCTAAAACATGAAAAGGTACATCACCATAATTCTTGTCTTTTGTGCATTTGGTGAGTGGTGTGGCGAGGCCGTTGTTCTCATTCTTTCAGATGAAAACCCGTCGCAGACATTTGAGAAGAGCTCCATCCAGCAGAGAGAACACCAGAAGCTGAGATTTGTTATCGACAAGTCGTGCCTCAGGACCTGGCCAAGCTGGTCCTATGTTCACGCCACAAAGCCACGAACCTGGCCATGTGCGCGACCAAGTTCATGCTTTCCAAACACAAACATAGCACCAGCACGCCTTCGAACGTTTGGATGGAACTTCCTGCTTTGTTTTCCCCTGTCAGACGAGATCGCTCGGGGGTTCTGTACGGGCCTAATCACATCTATGGCAGCCTAATTAAATCTGGGGGGACCTAATTAAATCTGGGGGGGGCTAATTACACCAAAGAATGCCCCCCCACAAACTGCCTTCTTCCTCAGCCAGCTTCCAAGATCCAAGAACCATGGCAATGTTCATCAATCAGTAGTCCAACGGGCTGGGTAGAGGTAATACTGGGTATCGCCGGCATAGAAGGTGGTTGGTTGGTCAGGCCGGTCATGGCTGCAGTAGGGGAAGCTGCTGTGTATAACTACTTCCACCCTTGCGGAAAACGTGGAGATTTCTGTCGATCTATAGGCATTATTTACGAATCGTCGAAGCTGGGCTCACTCGCGACATCTGCAGAAACTGCAACAGCGTGGAGGAACTCGAGGCATGTGTGCACAGGCGGATCGATAAAATGGCCAACCATTCTTCTGATCACACTAAAGATCGAAACAACAAAAAAAGTTCCTCGCTGCTGGTGTCGCATTATGCAGGGCAGAGACCGAAACGCACAGCATTTCATCATTCCAGTGTGAACACGCTCACAATGACAAGTCTCTTTCAAGATACTTCAGCGAAGCCGGCAAAGCCGCTGAAGCAGTACCATCCACACAATACTATCGAGCAGCATACTGACCTAGAACTAGAGACCAGACGTTACCAAGTGCAACACACCATCACTTCATCTTCGTTGCAAGAATTCATCATCCACCATAACCAATCCAACAAGCCTACAACACCTCAAACCAGAAGGGCGGCAAATAGTGTCCCACATATGCTGCTACTGCTGTGCTGCTCTCTCTCTCTCTCTCTCTCTCTCTCTCTCTCTCTCTCTCTCTCTCTCTCTCTCTCTCTCTCTCTCTCTCTCTCTCTCTC